AGATTGTGTACTTATGTTTAAAGAAAATCGAATAGTTTGATTATTTGCACATTCAAATAGTCTTTTATCCAAAAAAATGCACTTCTGCTGTAAAGTATGCGAATATTCAGTCATGCCTAATTTTCGAGTGAATAATCGGATGTACACGGTTCCAATTATTCGAATAATCGAATTCGTACATTTTAAATGGAGACTCAGATACTAGTTTGAGTATTTTTTGTGCGAACGTTCGCAAAAAAAATCATGCGCAAAATGTTCGAATGTTTCAACTATAGGATTTTGTATGAAAAGATCATTTCGATTTCCTCGAATGCTTCGTCATCATTCCTTTATCTGCAAAATTGGAAATTGTCATCTCTAGGGTGCATTGTCTTCTCATGCGCAGAAATGGGGTTCGATCCTTTGATATACTTTCCATGTAACTGCCACCATACTACGATCATACGAAGCCTCGACATCTGAATGGATAAGTGGATTGATCAGATACTCTCACTTAATATATCGTCTTTTGATTGTTGTATGAGTGCAGATAGTTTGTTTCTGGGGTTGTCAGTGGGTGTTACGGAGTTCATAGCACCGCGAGTACCGCCGCGCCCTAATTGCTGCCTTTGGTGCGCTTTTTGGTGTTGGGACAATATAACGCGCGCGGTTCAATACTCAAAACGCAGATAAATGAGTTTAAGATGTAAAGTTATTGATACTTCGTATACCTTCCCAGATTCAAGCAATTTGATTTTACTTTTAGATCTTGATATTACATCATCCTACTACAATAAAGCCGAATTATCAAGCTATGCTTCATATTGGCTCCATAAGGCAGACAGCAACACTTGTCAGCATGACTAAGGTATGTTAGCTTTATTTTGCTGGTTCACTGCAGGTGTCCAAGCGCGATGCAACGGTCTAACCATCAGTTATTTACAATTCAATGTGTGCGAATACTTTTATAAGTAAATCTGAATTTTTTCTTTGCATAACTGAGGAAGCCTGACTTGGCAATGTATACAGGAAGTATCGAGAATGACACATGCTGATCTTAAATCTATCGAAAATATCTGTTTTGCTTACCTAATCTAGTGTGAAAAGAGCTTTTATCAAATGTCAAATGCCAAAAATTGCTGTTTGTCTTCTCATTTTATTTTTGGAAATGCATTTGAGAGTGGAAACGAAGAAACCAAAATGTATATCTAAACACCTCCTGCTATGGGTGATACGATTGAGCCAGGAAGATTGTGTTTCTGGCTCTAAAAAGAATGTTGTTTTTCTAGGAAGTACTACGCACTGGAGATCGCGACCGCGTTACATTTCGTTTTATACGATTGCCTGAATACATTCGGCCAGGTGCACTTAGCTTTAAATTTTATTGCAACGTTTATGCATTTACTTTTTCTCTAGGGACAAGGATGGTATTCCGCGAAGGAAGAACTAAAGCCGTAGGAACGGTTGTAAACGTTATACCACAATCAAGTCTTGCACAACAGAGAGCCAATAAGCTGAAGGATAAAACTAATAGAACATGTGAGTTGCGAATTAACTCTCAAAAGGTTTACAAGATAACCTAGATTTTTTTGACATATAGCCGAAATTAACTTTATGATCATGGACTTTGAATTATAAATTATCAGTGACCAGAAACATTAAAATATCTCAGCAAATAGCATAATGTAGCGAGTGATTGCACATACGTGACAGAAAGTGCTTATATATGCTTAACATTTTTCGATTAACCCTGGTACTTGTTTGCGGATTGCATAATTTTATTCTGTATTCAGTGCTTGTGGTGCAGTCACATTTGGTCACGATATTAATAACTGTAAACAGAACATTAGGAAGATCTTTTACGTTTTCTCTGGAATGTTCGAAACTGAAAGCTTTGTCTAGATCTTTGTTATTACAAACTTTACGAATTCAAACAATTTTTGGCACATCCATAATTTGGGTTTACTTAATTCAAGGTATATTATGTACAACCAACATCTGCTTCACCACTTGGAATTTTTTGGGAGACGAGACCAAATCATCTATTTCAGTCATTAAACGAGGTGGGCCAAAACCACCCAATGGAAAACCGTCCAAAGTCGAAGCAAAGGAGTGAACATTCAAGCTGTTAGGCGTAATAATTGTATTTTCATGAAATTGCTTTGTAAAGTTGAAGTATACGGTAATTGCTAAAGTTTGATATATTAGTGGAGATCATAATGTTGAGGATCTTTAGCATTTCATTTTTCGGGTTTGTATAAAAATTTTGGATTAAACTTCAAAGAACGTTTGGTTGACCCATTGCTGGACACTTTTTAGTGCATGAGAGCGAAGAGCCTCAAAAACTTTTAAAAAAGTGGCATAATCATAAATTGAAATTGCGTAAACTTTTTAATATGAGCTTTCGCTGAATCATGCGACATAGGTTTATTAGAATGATCATTTGCTTTCTTTTTGAATGTTGCTAATTCCGCCTTTTTGGTACCTGTTTTCCGTCGAGGTTGCTAGTAGAAAGAAAACAAAATGTATCCATTCTGACCTTTAGATTCAGAAACAATCTAGTCAAGCTTAAACTATCTACATCGCCTCAACTCAATACTTGGCATATTTTTTAAAAGGCTAAAATCCTTCCTTGAAACTCTTTTGAGTT